AAACCATTAACAAGATGCCTTGTCTTTGTTAACGTTCTTTACATTTACCTATTGTACTGTAAGACCAAAGCTATGTCTTGTTTATGCTATTTCCCCATGTTGTCTATGCTACCTCTGCCTGGATAACCCTGTACAGATATTATAAAATAAAGCTGATTTTGTGCTTTGGTGCTGGCTGCAGCCATCAGCTCAGTCAGATCTCACGATCCCATCCTTTGCTTCCATCTCTTCTCTTGTGCTGTATTTTCCTCATTCCCCACCAGTTCCACTCTGGTTTGCTCCCCTTAGCTGCACTTGTTCGCAACATCCCTGTAGTTCACGTAAAATCTAAAAGAAGAAAACCACTGGCTCTGATTGGTTTAAATCACGGGTTCCTTGAATTAATAATTGCCTAGGTGAAACAGATAATGCTGATGATACAGTGTGAAGTCAAACTGTCCTAGAGGTTTAGTTACTTCAGAAGGTCAGCAACTGAAACTATAGGACTTGGAAATGTAGAATGTTGTTAGGGAGAAGGAATGAGAAATGGCTGCTGAAGAGGCAACTAACAAATGTCCTGAAATAGAAAGTTAATCAGTATGGCAATAAAGAGTAATCAGATCATTAGTAACTACAGAACAGTCAGTATACTTGTCAGGTTTCATTTTATTGATTATAAGTAGAAATTTGAATTAGGAAAGTAAACAAGTAATTAAAAAAGCAACCCTCAGGTCAGGCACAGTGGCTCACGCCTTTAATCCCAGCACTTGGGAGGCCAAGGTGGGTGGATTGTATAAGCTCATAGGTTTGAGACCAGCCTGTGCCAGAGTGAGACCTCATTTCTAAAAATAGCCAGGATCTACTGTAACTGTAGATCCCAGCTACCTGAGAGACTGAGGCAAGAGAATTGCTTGAGACCAGGAGTTGGAGGTTTCTGTGAGCTATGATGCTACAGCACTCTACTGAAGGCAACAAAGTGAGACTGTATCTCAAAAAGAAAAAGCAACTTTCTAGTTAGATTGCGAAGTCAGTGTTGGCTGGAACAATCTATTCATTTCCGTAATCTGAGCACCAAGCATAGTGTTTGGTACCTAGAAAGAATTCTGTAAATGTTCAACTCCAAATTTATGAAGTCTACAAAACTTTTCCCTATCTGACTTGTGACAGTTAAGTTTGTAAACTCATCCTAGAAAAATTCTAACATACTTCACTGCTGAATATCACTTTAGTCACCTTTGAACTACCCTTCAAAGCAATTATGGAACTTTTCTGGAATGGTCATCATAGCTGTTGTTGTATTACCCTTGATGTCCTAAGTGTCATCAAAATGTCTTCCTTTCAATATTTTCTTTTCTTTGGGCAAAGAAAAATATTATTGGGACCAGATCAGGTGAGTAGGTAGAGTGTTCCAGTAAAGTTACTTGTTTACTGGCTAAAATTTCCCTTACAGCCAGTACTGAGTGAGCTGGTGCATTGCTGTGATGCAAGAGCCATGAGTTGGTGAGAAGTTCAGGTCATTTATGGCTGATTTTCTCAAGCTGGCTTTTCAGCTTTTCCAATAGCAAATTTGGTTAACTGTACAAATTCGTAATGAACAATCCCTCTAATGTCATAAAAGGTCAGCAACATTGTTTTGACTGTTGATTTGGACTGATGGAACTTTTTTGGTTGACTTTCCTGTGTACTTTGATAATTTGTTTCAGAGTCATATTTTCCATGTTTCATCACCAGTGGTAAGATGGCATAAAACATTGTCTTGGCTGTCCAAAAGATCTTGGCAAACTTCAACTCTCCTTGCTTTCATTCATTACTGAGCCCTATTGGGACCCTTCTGGACACACCTTTCCCACGCTAAAATTTTTAACATTTTCCTATTTAGCTATCAATATTTACTTGGTCTGCTATGGTTCTCACAGTCAACTGATGACTCTGACACACAATTCAGTCAATTTTTGCAACGTTTCATCAGTTTTGCTTGGCCATCCTGACCTCTCTTCATCAGTGATGCTTGCCCCCTCACAGGAAAACATTGTATCCATTTGTACACTGCTATTTTCTTCATGGCATCACCTACATAAACTTGGACTAACATGTCCCTGATTTCACTTCCACTCTTGTTAAGTTTAGTAAGACATTCAATGTGTCTTCATTGCTCTAATTCAAGCCCTACCATTCTTGTGATGGAGCACAAAAATACGCAACGATAGTGAATGACGCTCAGGAAAACACCAACACATGTTGATACAAATACAGCTGTGAGATACTAATATACCAGGGTTGTCAAACCTTACCAAGTTGCTTGTACAGTGGTACCAACATAAGTGCACACTGGCAAGTTCATAAACTTACTATGTCATCTTGTTTCTTTTTTTTTTTTTTTTTTTGAGGCAGAGCCT